CTTTAAATTTTACTTTAAAAATTAATTAAAACAATAATAATAAAATTAAATAAATATAAAAACTATAAAAACTATAAATTATCAATTGCTTTATTTAATATAGTCATAAAATAATTATAGATATTAGTTTAATATTGGACTACATATAAATTGCAATAATTTGTTTATTTTTTTAATTTTAATTTTTATTTATTAGTTTAATTATAATAATAATAACTTTATTATTGATTTTTTCTAAAAAAATATTTTGATAAATAATTTGAATTAAATTAATTTGAATAGTTATTTTTTTTTATAAATAAATAAACTGTAAATTTTCAAATATACTATTTTATACCAGGGTATATTAAAATCTATATTGTATAAATTATAATAATTTAATAATGATGATATTAATGGGTGTTTTATGGAATTTGGTCCCTTTTATGCATATTATTAAATGCAATAATATATTATATCTGATATTTATAATAGTTTTTTAAATTATTTTTTTTATTCCTCTCTATTTCTCTCTCTATTTTAAATAATAATTTTAAATATGATATTTTATTAAAACATATATACTAACAAGATTGATTTTTAAATAATAATTTAATTTAATAATACTTTACATTAATATATATATATATATATATTTATTTATTTATACAATAGCTTATATGAATATTAATTGAAAATTTAATTTGTATTAATTTTTGTTTAGTTTTCTACACACAAACACACAAAACTGTAAATTTTTTAATAATATATTTTAACATTATTATTAAACACATCTAATACAGTAATATTATATTATTATTTATGTGGTATATATATAATGATGATTTTATTGAGGCTTTTCACTATTTCCCCTCCTATTTGCTAATTATTAAATGCAATTAATAAAAATAATAAATCTGATAAATACTTATAAATAATTAAATATAATTTTTTTTCAATATATTTTACAACAACTAGCAAAAAAAAACAATTAATATGTTTATAAAATAATAATTAACAAAAAATTTTAATAAAAAATTATACTAAACAATATAATAAAATTATTGAAAATAGTTATAAATTATTTATTTATATATTTTATTAATAGTAATATCTGATAAGTATAACTATAAAATATTTATTTTTTTGAGTTATTAGTTTTTATAAAATTTTTTTATAAACTACTATATAATTATTTCAAATATTTTATATATATTAAAATTTATATACATATAATAATTACAAAAAAAAACAGTAACTAATTAATAGTTTTATTTATTATTATTATAAAATAGAAAATTAAAATTTATACTAATAGTTTATAAAATGTCTATGATTAATTTATTTTTTAATTATAATATTAAATATTAAAATTTTACAAAAAAAAATAATTTAGTCAATTTTACTTTAAATTTTAAATAACTAGTATCTAATAAAAAATACGTAATATTTATATTTTAAGATAAATCAATTATATAATTTACTAAAACAATAGGTTATACATAAATACTATTATATTATTTTTAAAAATTTTTATATACTGTAAATTTTTACTAAACTAATATAATTATAATATTTTTAATATTGTATTCTATGTTATTTAGTACGTATAGCATTTAATTATTATAATTGTTTTTTGTTGTATTTTTTTTATAAAAATTAAAAAACATAAAAACTATAAATTATCAATTGATTTATTTATTATAGTCATAAAATAATTATAAATATTATTACCGTAATTAGTGTTCACAATGTGATAATTTGTTTATTTTTTAATTTTTATTTTAAAAAATTACTTAAACAACAAAAATAATTGTATATTATTAATAAACAATATTAATTATTTATACGCTTAAAACAAAAAAAATATTTAAATTGTATTTTTAATTATAAAATCTTTTAACTATTTATACAATAACTATATTAGGATATTATATACGAATAATTATTAAAATTTTTTACATTAATATATTAACACATATATAAAAAAAATATTTTTGTGTTGTTGTTTTAAAATATCATATATATTATATAAAATTTTAACTATTAGCTTAATTATAATAATAATAATAACTTGATTATTATTTTTTTCTAAAAAATATCTAGATAAATAATTTTTTAATTAATTTTAATAGTTATATATTTTTATATTAATTAAATAAACTGTAAATTTTCAAATATACTATTTTATATCAGGGTATATTAATATCTATCTTTTATTAATTAATTAATAATGATGATATTAATGGGGGTTTTATGGAATTTGGTCCCTTTTATGCAATATATTAAATGCAATAATAAAAATAATATCTGATATTTATAATCGATTTTTAAATTATTTTTTATTCTCTCTCTCTCTCTCTCTCTCTCTCTCTCTAATTTAAATAATAATTTTAAATATGATTTTTTTATAAAACAACTAATTTATCTATGATTTTTAAATAATAATTTTAAATATGATATTTTTATAAAAACAACTAATTTTGCTATGATTTTTAAATAATAATTTATTAATATATATTTATCAATTATTTATAGGATAATTAATATGAATATAAATTGTAAATTTACTTATATTTTGTATTAATTTTTTAAAAATTTTTTACAAACACACACACAGAAAACTGTAAATTTTCTAATAATATATTTTAACAATATTATTATACACATCTATATATAAATATATATAAATAATATATAATTATTTGTGTGATATATATATATAATGATGATATTAATGAGGGTTTTATATACAGTACTTTCCCTCCTATTTGCTATATATTATTGCAATAATAAAAATAATAAATCTGATAATTATAATATAAGCCACTCATAAATAATTTTATCAATATATTTTACAACAACAAATAATATGTTTGTAAAATAATAATTAACAAATAATAAAATCTAATATAAAAATCATAATTAGAAAGTTAGCATTAATTTTTAAATAATAATAATATACAATAAAATAGATATTATAATGAATTAGAGAAATATATAGAATTAAAAATTTTAATTATTGTTGATTTATTAAATTTTAAGTGAAACTATAATTTATTTTTTTAGAATTATTAATAATAAAAAATGATTTATAAATATAATTAATTGGATATTTTAACGTTTTTTATTACAAATAAATAAATAAAGATAATTCATAATATTATTATTATTAATGCTATTAATGCTATAATTTTTTTTTATTAATTTGAATTATTATTATTAATATTTTCAAATGTTATGATAATAATACTATTGATTTTGTAATTAAAACTAAACTGTAATAAATACAGTAACTGTAATATAGTTACAATAAATTTATTGAATTGAAATTTATATTTAAATATTTCAATAGTTTTTATTTATTTATAGGTTAGATTACATTTATAGTAATCAAAAAAATTAGTTTGATATTAAAAATAATTTTTTTTCTTTTAAAACACACATTTATTATACAAAATTTTTTATGAATAATAAAATTTTCAATTATATTGAATAAATTAATAATTATTATAATACAGTAAAATAATAATAATAATAAAGTTTATTAATGTTAAATATTATTAAATATTTTTTATAATAATAATAATGAGAAAAACAATGTTAAAGCTATTAATCCAAATTTACAAAATAGTAATATAGAAAAAATATAATATAAATATTTTTTTTCAATTAGTAATTAATAATATTTTGTTTGTTTGTTTGTTTATATAATAAAACATTATTATATTTTCACTTTAATTAATTAATCAGTATTTACTTAAATCATTATCCAATAATATATTTAGATAATTAATTAATTAAATAAATTTTATATAAACATTGTTTATAATAATTTAACAAAATAAAAAATAAAAAACATATAATTTGTACAATTATGTGAAAAAACTAAAAACTATAAATAATATGTTTTAATAATAATTTATCACATATAATATTACATTATATAATGTTTTTTTTGATATTTTTTTGTTGAAAAAATTGTTGTATTTTTAAAGTGTAATTTTTATTGCACCATGGTACTACACATTAATAACAATAATAATAATTATAATTTAATTAACATTAACATTTAATTAAATGCATGATTTTTTTTGTTTTAGTTTTTATTTTGTTAAATAAATAAATAATTATTATTATTTAATCAAAAAAAATTGTAATTTACAAATAACATTGATATATAAATTGCAAAAAATATATAACTTTATATAAAGCTGTGTAAGTGTTTAATGTTTATTTTTATTTTCAAAAAAATATATATAATATATATATTATTTTTATTATTAATCAATAATAATAATAGTGATAATTATTATATAATTGTTTTCAATGAAATGTGTTTGAAATTGATTATAAATATAGATTTATATAACAATTTATAATAATAGTATTATAATTATTATTTTAACAATATATGTTTGTATGTATGTGTGTAATGTATTTTATGTGTTATGTTATATAATTAATGTTAAAAAATTAAATATCATTTTTATTGATACAATATAATTATCATTATATATATATATACCGTATGTATTATATAATTATCAAGCAATTAATTGATACAATTGTAATTATATATATATAATATACAATTTTTATTTTTATTTTTTGATAGCACCCACCAATTCAATTAAAACAATTTAATTTTGTTTGTTTGTTTTCCCCACTAATTAATATATAAAAAATAAATATATATTTCATTCAATTTATGCATTTTTAGTATTATTATTATTAGTACTATTATCATCACCAGAAAAATATATTCAATAAATAATAATAATAATAATAATAATAATTTAAATCAATCATAACCTATCACATAAATATTTATATATTTATTTATTTATTTGTTTCATCCCCATCATCATTATTATCACTATCATCAGCACATTATTATTTTTAAAATAAAATGTATGCCTATCATCATCATCACCCAATAAATTACCATGGTAGAAATATATATAATATATATATATATATTTCAAACCACAAAAAATATATATAATTAATTAATTAATTATAAAAATTAATTAATTAAATCCATACAAACACACACAGAAATACGTGTGTTTTGTTTGTTTTTTTTTAATTTTTTTTTGTTTGTTTGGTTATATTGATGTGTGATTTTTTTGTCGCATCCAATATAATCACAGCCGAAACGACTTGGCTTTTTCAATGCCACCGATTTTCGGCATTTGTATCGGACTTTCCATATCTTCGGCGGACATACGGGTCAATTGATAGCGTTTGTGTCGTTGATCGGCCTCGACATGTAATTGTCGCCAATTGTCCAAATTTTCGCTAATTTATTAATTAAATAATTATTATTATTAAATATAAATCAAATTTACTAATCATACTTATGATTAATAATAATACTAATAATAATAATAAATAAATATTATTTGTATTTTATACCCAATAGATTGAATATACTGTATATAAAGTATATTATATTATTTTAGTTTTAGTTTATTAATTAAATTATTTGCTTAATTAATTAATTAGTAATTAATAATCTAATAACAATTCTAATTGTTTTTAGTAAATAATTAATCATTTAATGAAATTAATTACTTAATTAAATGATTAGCACAAACAAACAATTAATCTAATTGTTTATTAACTATATATATTAGTAATAAATTTTTTATTTAAGTTAAATTAAAGTTAAACAATTTATAAATAATATATAAACAGTATACTATACTTTTGTATACTACACAATGTTCAAGATTAATTAATAAGCTTAAAATTATACATACTAGGCCATACTACTAGCCCAACCTACCTACACCATCATACCCAATTCTACTACTACTACTACTACTACTACTACTACTACTATTACTACCACTACCACTACCATTACTACCACTACCACTACCACTACCACTACCACTACCACTACCATTACTACCACTACCACTACCACTACCACTACCACTACCACTACCACTACWACTACCACTACCACTACCACTACCACTACCACTACCACTACCACTACTACTACCACTACCACTACCACTACCACTACTCCTAYCACTACCACTACCACTAGTACTACTCCTACCACTACTACTACTCCTATCACTACCACTACCACTASTACTACCACTAGTACTACCACTACCACTACCACTACCACTACCACTACAACTACAACTACCACTACTACCACTACTACCACTAGCACTACCACTACAACTACCACTACTACTACCACTACCACTACTACTCCTGTTTAGTTAACAATACAAACAAAATTAAAACTTTTAATTTAAAAATTTTAGTTAATACATACAACGATCGTTTAAGATAACTGTGTGCGTCGGGCAGAAATTTTTCCACAATCTGTAGACACGGTATGGATATATTTTCGAGAAAGTCGACCTGTGTTTTAGGCTGTTCCTCGATTTTCAACCTATCCATCAGTGCCATCGGCTCTCTACCCATTTGCCTCTCGCTGTCGCCCATTGCGTAAAACTCTTCAAACAGCTCTTTGGTTTTAGCCCTGGCCTCGGGCCAGGGCAAGGCCGTCGAGTTTAGATCGGCACCGTTCATGGCCAGGGATGACAGTAAGATTCTAGATTTTTAAAAAATTAAATAATTAATTAATTAATTACAATAATAATAATATTTTTTTTATATAAATAATGTAAATTATAAATACTGTAATTAATTATTTATTTTTAAATAAATAAACATAAAAAATAATTAATTAATTACAGTATTAATAATAATAATTTTTTTGTTGTATAAATAATGTAAATTATTAATATTGTAATTAATTATTTTTAAATAAATAAACATAAAAACATAATTAATTAATTACAGTATTATTAATAATAATTTTTTTTTGTTTCGTTTAAATAATGTTTAAATTATTTTTGTCAACAAACAACAACTAAAAAAAACTGTAAAAATAATTATTTATTTTTGATTTTTTGATAAATAATTAAAAAAAAATATTTCAAAATAATACTCTTATTACTGCTACTTTTTTATATACAGTATTTTATTAGACAATATATTGTTAGAAAATGTTTTATAATAATAATAAATAAATACAGAAAATTTGCTCAAATAATAGTTTACAAAAATAATTAATTAATAGTTAGTGTAATAACTAATGCAATGGTTCTATTTAATTTATTTTTTTTATGTTTTAGTACTAAATATAAATATAGTATTTTTTAAATTATAAATTTATATGTTATTTTTTTGCCAAACAACAACAATAATTATAAAAAAAAACTGTAAAAAATAAATTATTTTTTATATTATTAAACTATTTTTAAATAATTTTTATAATTTAGCTAGTTCACATATGAATGTCTATTTAAATTTTTCTATTATAGTATTTTCTTATACAATATTATATATATATATATATATAAATGATATTTACTGAGAAAATTTTTTTGAAAGTAAATTTTACAATTAATCTAATAGTTTACAAATAAAAATAATAGATTTATAAAATAAAGTTATTATCGGGGAAAAAATTAATTTTTAAATTATAAATTAATAAATAAATTAAAAAAAATTTATTTATATACTTATGTTCCTCTAGATTCCAATCAAACGATCCATTGTTGGCAATTGTTTGCAATTTTTTAAGATTTGTAAAAAATTTTGCCATATCTGTAGCCAATATAAAATGTTTGATGTTTGCCAACACTAGCTTATAATCCTCTGATGACATACATTTCAATATATTCATACCGTTTTGCTATATAAAAAAAAATATATGATAACAACAAAAATAATTAATATATTAATTTAAATATAACAATAATATATTTTAGATTTAAAAAAAGTTAGTTTACATGAAATTTTTATGTTTTATTTAAAAAAATATTATAATTACAAGTTATTGCAATATATCAACAACAAAAAAATCAATTGATTTTATATATGTATATATAAATAATTTATCTGAAATATCAGTTAATTTCAATTAGTTTACTAATGCATAATAATTACTAATTACTAATACAGTATTTTTAATAAAAAAAAATACTTATTATTAATGCATTGATAAATTATTTTTTAATTTATTTTTTACTTATTTTAACTGTAAATTTTTAATAAACTAATATATTTATTAGATTTTAATAACTTATAAAAATTAACTAAACTATATGGTGTATATAATGATGATTAATGTTAGTCACTGGCAATTGCTAATTAAAAATGCAATAAAACATAACAATCTGATAAAAAAAATAATAGCTACAAATTAAATAATAATTATTATTATATATTTTTTTGTTTATTTTTAACTAATGTTGTAATCAATTAGTTTTAACATTTATTTTAATTTAAATTATTATATAAAAAATTATAGGGAATTGTTTTATTTCTATTTAAAAAAATCATATTTTCTTTAATTTAAATATTTTATCTATATTTTTATATAATAGTCACCATTATAAAGATTTATTTAAACTTTTATTAAACTAATAAATTTAAAAAAATTTCATCACTAAAAACTAACAGATATATATTATTCACATTAATTATTAATAAAATAGTATTATTATTAGTAAATAATATTATTATTAAAAATATCAAAAAAAAATTTTTTTTTTTAATTAATATGTGTTAAATTAATAATAAATGTGTTAATTATTTAAATTAAAATTATCACTAATTATTCAACAACAAAAAAACAAATTAATGTTAGATTTTTAAATAAATTAATTACTATAATAAAAAAAACACATACAATACAGCAATAAATATAATATATATATATATATATTTAATTTTAAGAAACTGTAACTTATTAATTGTATATTATTTTAAGTTAATATATTGTTTGTTTAATATATTAGTAATTATAAAAATGATGATATGTTTTAATTCATTATTAATACAGCGTATAATCTGATCGTATGCTAAATTATGCACAAAAATTATTATCTGATTTATAATATCTTAAAATTTTTATTATATATATATATATTTTTTTAATTTATAAATACTATAAATCATATAGTTATTAAATTAAACAATAACTGGGTAAATTATTATTATAGATAACTTTTTAGAGTAATTATTTATGTAAAAAAATAGTTTAATTTTTGTTTTATATTTTTAATAATAAAAAAAACTAAGAAAGTTTTTAATTAAATTAAATAATTAAAATAATGATAATGATATTATTTCGGGGGGGGGGGTCTTAACAGTTCAACCCCTACATTAAGCTAATTATTTAAAAAAAAATGCAATTAAATACACAAATAAATATAAATATCTAAATAATTATAATAAGCCACATAATTAACTACATATTATAAAAAAAAAATTTTATATAAAAATAACTAAATAATAATAATAATAATATATTTGTGAGCGGGGAGGGGGAGGGGGGGTTTAAAAGTTCAAACCCACATAATTACTAATTATTTCAAAAAATGCAATTAAATACATAAATTAAATAAATAAATATCTGAATAATTAATAATAAGCCACATAATTATAAATATTTTTTTATATATAAAAACAACTAAATAATAATAATAATATTTGGGAGAGGGGGAGGGGGTTTAACAGTTCAACCCCCACATTATACTAATTATTTCAAAAAATGCAATTAAATACAAACTAACTAAATAAATAAATATCTAAATAATTAATAATAAGTCACATAATTAAATACATATTATAAAAATATTTTTATATATATATAAAAACAATTTTTTAAAAAATAAATAAAATATAAATAATCAAGCACACAATTAATACCTGTAATATGGATACAGCCTGATTAAAATGATGATACTCTAGTGGACTATTTGAATACAGATTGGCCAGGGATGCCGATGAGTTGACCAAAAATTGATTGTTAGTACCCCGATGGTCCAGATCGTGACATAACCCGGATACAAAAAACGAAAATTTATCCAAGGTTGAATAGTTTTCCGATTGACGGGTAAATATGTAGATAGTTTGGGCAACTGAGTAACCGTGCGACCAGTTATGATAGGGTACTTTACGATAGTTTTTCCGTACGGTCAGGGCGAACCGGTAGATATCATCCTGGTCACATTTGGTAATGCCGCTAAACGATTGGATCAGTTTTACCGATGATAAGACTTTTTCGTCGCTGGACAGCCGATAGGGTGTAAAATCGGGACTATCGGTAGGGTAGGGTAGGGTTAGGATAGGGTAGAGAAAATTAAAAAAAAAGATATACATAAGCGCACAGTTAGATAAAAAAAAATTGATTGTTTGTTTGTTATTTTTTTGGATACTATTAAAAACTACATATATATAACTGTAATTATTGTTTAACTAACTAATTAATTAATGGTTAAATTTCTGGTATAATAGTAATTGATAATTGATTTTATAAACTATCTGATTAACTAATCTATATGTTTATGTATTTTTCTAAATTATATATTTTAATAATAATTATTATTATTATATTTTTTTTGTAATAAATTATTATTTTTAAAATATAAATTATAAATTAAATTTCTTATAATAGTAATTGATAATTGATTTTATAACTATTTGATTAAATAATCTATATGTTTATGTATTTTTCTAAATTATTTATAAATTATATATTTTAATAATAATTATTATTATTTATTATATTTTTTTGTTATAAATAATTTAGTACTGTTTAAATCATATATTTTTGTTTATAAAAAAAAACTATTTTCTTGATGTTAATAATAATAATTACTTAAACAGTAATTACATACTCAGTCTCATCTGGTAACTGATCCAATGGTGTCGATTTGATCTCCTGGAGCTCATCGCTGGTACAGGTATTATGATAGGACAGTACCTCCAGAGCTACCTTATATTTTTCTTGCGATTTATGTATCTTTTCGTATAACTAAACCCCACAACAAATTAATTTTTTAGTATTAAATAAGTTATAAGTTAGATTACAGGCTGGTGGAGAGGGGTGGGTAGGTGGGTGTGTGTAATAAGGGATGTTATGTAAAAAACAACCTACCCGTGCGTGATCCAGAGCCAGACCACAATAGGTGGCAAATACGGCAAAACTTTCTTCATCTTCTTTGGTAAAAATGTCTAAAACTTTTTTGTTAACCATTTGTAAGACACCGATCACTCTGTGGATGGTTTTGTGGATAATAATAATAATTAATTAATAAATGTAATAATTAATTAATAAATGTAATAATTAATTAATAAATGTAATAATTAATTAATAAATGTAATAATTAATTAATAAATGTAATAATTAATTAATAAATGTAATAATTAATTAATAAATGTAATAATTAATTAATAAATGTAATAATTAATTAATAAATGTAATAATTAATTAATAAATATAATAATTAATTAATTAATAAATAATTATTAATTATTAATAAATAAATAATAATAATTAATTAATTAATATAATAATTAATTATTAATAAATAAATAATAATAATTAATAAATAAATATAATAATTAATTGATAATTATAATTGTATAATAAAATCATATATAACTACTACTACTACTACTACTACTACATACTTGTCCCGTATGAATATAGGCATACATAGTATGCTTTTTGTTTGATAACCGGTTTTCTGGTCGATAGACCTATTGAATCGGGAATCGGCGTAAGCGTTGGCAATATTCAAGGGTACACCTGTTTTGGCTACATTGCCGGCAATACCCGATCCGATGGGGAAATGTATCTCTTTTTTCAGCGCCCGTTCCTCGTTGTTGTCGTTGGCGTCAAATATAAACGGATACAATTGATTGCTGGTGTAGTCAATCAAAAACAGTGACGCGCGGTCCGCGTTAACCAAATTACGCGCGTATTCCTGAATTAATAATAATAATAATAATTTTAATAATAATAATTTTAACAATAATAATTTTAGTAATAATTATAATAATAATTATAATTATAATAATAATTATAATAATAATTATAATAATAATTATAATAATAATTATAATAATAATTTTAATAATAATTATAATAAACATTATAATAATTATAATAAACATTATAATAATTATAATAAACATTATAATAATAATAATTGATGTTTTTTAAAAAATAATAATATAAACCTTAATTAATTAAATGTTAAACAAACTAAGTTTATGTATTAAAATGAAAATTTTTAATTATTAAAAAACTAACTTTTTTTTAACAAACAAACAAAAAATCTTATTTTACATTATTTATATCTAACAGTTGTTAAAAAATAACTTTATATAAATAATTACAATTATTAGTTTATATTTAAAAATTTATAGTTTATTATAAGTTAATTAAATATTATTATAGTTATTATAATTATTGTAATTTATCAAAATAATATATAATCCAGGGATTTATTTCTATTTATAATAATAAAAACTTAATAATCAATATAAATACTAATTTTAATATATGATTAATATTTTAGTAATAAAATTTATAATAATACTAATGAATGCTTAAAAATATTTTTTATTATTATTATTTTTAAATTACCAATATTTTTGATACGACTACATCCATGTTAACCATATCCTGAAATATTGATCTAGTTAAAAAGTAAAAATAATAATTTTAATAAATTACATTAAATTTAATTAGTTAATATTTTTTTAGTGTTTCATTTCCTAACACACACACATAAATTAATTGCAAAATATTATTTATGATTTTAATTTTACATACATAATTTAATTTTATTTATTGTCACATAAATAAATTGGTTATGTGTGTGTAGTGTTGGCAAAAAAGAGAAATTTATAAAATAATAGAGAAATTTCTAGAAAGTTTCTAAAAGAAATTTCTATCTATGGGATCACCATGTTAATTTTGTTTTCTGGATATATGTTATTATGTAAAAATACATTGGTTTTACAAGTAATAATTAAATATTAATATTAATATTTTTATTATTAATTAAAATAAAAATTAATTTATTTAATTATCTTAAATTCTTATATATATATAATAAAATGATTATTAAAATTTTAGAAAACTGATTATTATTAAATAATTATAATTATTTTACATATAGGTATCGCATTTTGTATAGTAGTGTATAGTGTAATGTTATATGAATAGTAGTATTGTCTCATTATTTATATAGTATTTCAATGGCTATAGATATGGGGATCCCATAGTATAACAATAAAGTTAAATTTCTATAGAAATTTATTCCTGAGAAATTTTCTAGAAACTTTCTCAGTGAAATTTATTAGAAACTTTCTATTTGCCCATCTCTATGTGTGTGTGTGTGATGTTAGTTAGTGTTACTGTGTGTGTGTGTGTGTGTGTGTGTGTGTGTGTGTGTGTGTGTGTGTGTCTATGAGTATATGTGGGTATGTATATGTGTATGTATATGTGTATGTATATGTGTATGTATATGTGTATGTGTATGTATATGTGTGTATGTATATGTGTGTATGTATATGTGTGTATGTATATGTGTGTATGTATATGTGTGTATGTATATGTGTGTATGTAAGTTTGTGTGGGTATGTGTGTGTGTGTATTTGTATGAGTATTTTTATGTGTGTGTATGTATGTATGTGTGTATGTGTGTGTGTGTGTGTGGGGGGGGGTATGTGTGTGTATTTATATGAGTATTTTTATGTGTGTGTATGTATGTAAGTATGTGTGTGTGTGTGTGTGTGTGTGTGTGTGTGTGTGTCTGTATGTCTGTGTGTGTATTTGCATGTAATTTGCATATTTGAATATTTATTTAGATTAGAAATGTGTTTTATTATTATTATTATTATTTTTTGTTTTACTTTTATTTTTAGTTTAACCAGAAAAAACACATAATGTAAAACGTATAATATTTTATTTTATAATGTGCAAACTATGCAAATAATTTTTTTTACAATGTTTGCATACATTATTATTTATTATTGTATAATACTCTACTGTACTATACTGTATATATACAGTATATGCAGTAAATATTTAATAATTTATATCATATATAAATATAGTCTAAATTAATGATATTATTATTATAATTATTACTCTGTTTTTCTAACCACTAGTGAAGAGAGAGAGAGAGAGAGAGAGAAAGCACACCTAAAATGTGCAAATAAATCATTAAATGATTATTTTTAATATAAAATGCAATAATAATATATATACAGCATATATATATTTAAAAATTAATTGCTAATGCAATTGACAATATATGTAATGTCTAGTAAAATGCTTAATCATTATTTAACATTATATATATATAGATTTATATATAATATATATTATATTATATATTACAGTACACTGTAATAATAATAATAATAATAATAATTTTTTATATTATAACCTTACATTATAATAAATTTGTATATAATGTTATATACAGTATAATAAATATCATACTAAATATTATACTTAATTTGTATTTAGATTTTTTTTGTATAAATCATTTTATATTAACTTTACATAATATAAATAACATAAATAAAAATCTAATTATAATAAAAAGTTTTTACTCTAAAAGCATTTTTTAATACTAAAACTAAACTTAGAGAAAAAAAATCATTTATTACAAATTAAACAAAAAAAAAATAAAATATCATGTAATTTGTTATTTTATAATTAAGCAAAAATTATATATATTATATATGGTATTTATACCATATGTTATAATTTTTTTTATACAAACACAGTAAACACAGTTTTTTTGTAATGGTTTTAAGTAATTACATTAACGGTATATACTGTACTTTTTGCTAAAATATAAAATTTGCATAAATAACTAATAACTAAAAAAAATTATATGTAATTCATTAGTACTATAATTTATTACTACATTATATAGTATTAAAATACATATAGTTTTTTTATTATATATTAAATCTCTAAACTTAATATATATTTTTAAAAAATTTCAAAAAATAGCCATTTTTTTTAATTATTAATAAATATTAGTGAATATTAATAGTAAATATAAATAGTTTGTATAATATTTAAAATAAAACAATGTGACATTTAATTTTTTTTGTTTGGAAAATGTATATAACTTTTTTATTGTAGAAATATTTTTTTAATTTTTAGTTAAATTAATAATTATTTAAAAAATTAATTATAAATACCTGACAACTGATAGCAAAAACGTATTCAATTTTCTTTGTTGCGATAGATTATAGTAAAGCTATAAATAAATAAAAATAAATGATTATAATTATAATTAAAATAAAAAAAAATCATATAATATATTATTTTATATATATAGTTATAATAATAAAAATTTATTTTATAAATTTAATTTTAGTGTACAAAAATACATTCACACATTGATATACTGTATAGAAAAAAATATATTAAATTATTTATTTTATTTATTTTTTTGAGGCAACAATTTTCAATGAAAAACATTTATAGATAAATTTATTTTGGATACTCTAAGGTATTATAAATATATATATTGAATTTTTATTGTATATATATGTATGTGTGTATATATATAAACAATAAATAAGTTTTGGGAAATTTTATATAAAAAATTAAAATTAAAAAAAATAAATAAATTGTAAAATATAAAAGTTTTATAGATTACTGTATAATACAGTAAAAATAAATAAATATTTTTTTTTGTTTAATTATATAGACTAATCTATGTTAAAATGAAATATATTATATTATTTATATATATATATATATATTGTATAATATAAAATCCAATTTGTTATCATTAAAAAAGTAGGTCTTAAATATAATATATTAGCAAAAAAACTAGCATTTTTAAGTGAAAGTAAAAATGTTTAAAAAAACTAATAATAATTGTAACATTAATTAAACAATATATATATAATCTTATATACGGTATATATATATTGTATAAATTATTTACTGTATATAAAACTGTATTAAAATAAAATGCTATTTTACTAAACAAAAGAAAATAAAATAAAATAATAGTATGTATTTGTAATTTATTTGTACAATAGTATTTATCCCTGGTAATCTCAACAATAAATATTAATACCGTTTTAATTATTGTAGACTTATTATTATTATTATTATTATTATTATATATAAATTAAAATACAAACTTTTAATTACACTAATGAATGCTGCCTTAAAAAATAATATATTATATACAGTATATATATCAGTATATAATAACAAATGGGATTTAATATCTTATATATATATATATAACTGTATATATATATAGAAATTTCTATAGGAATATTCTGGTAAATTATTAATTTTTGTTTCAATTATTTATTTACGTAGTTTTTATTTAATAATACAAAAAAATAATAATTTTTTTTGGCTATTGTCTCTCATTAAATATTATTAATCTATTATTATCATTATCATTATTATGATTATAATTTTGTATTATTATTATTATACTGTATATATATATATAATTTTTTGGTTAATCTTTTAAATCATGCAAATTAGTTGATCGTGTGGTTAATTATTATTATTACTCTACTATTATATAATATAAATATATATTTTTTGATATTATTTTTGTTTTGTTTTTGAAATTTTCATTGTCTATGTCTACACTATATATTATATTATAGATTAAAATAAAAATATACACAAAATTTTCATTGATGATTATCTATTTATATATAGATTTTTTTTGAAATGATTAAATTAATTGTCTATTATTATTATTATTATTATTATACCAATTAATTCCACACAAAAAAACTATATATATATATATATAATGAGTTATTTATTTTATTTTTATTTCTAATTTCATTGTAAATAATTGTAAAGTATTTACTGTATTATTATAATAAAAACGGTATTGACGTAAATCATTAAATTGGAAAAATATTATTTATTTATTTATTTATTATTATTATTTTTAGTGTATAGTAGACTATAGAAAATAGTGTATAATTAACAAATAAATTATAATTGATTATATAATGTTATAAAACTTTATATATTTATTGTGTGTGTGTTTGTGTGTGTGTGTGTGTGTGTGTGTGTGTGTGTGTGTGTGTGTGTGTGTGTGTGTGTGTGTGTGTGTGTGTGTGTGCAACACATAAAATAAAACTAAAAATATAATTTTTTTTAATTAATGTAATTGGTTAACAACACTACACATACATACATACATACATACATACATACAGTATATACAGGTTAGTCATAAATATCATAAATAGTATAAATATATACTGTATATACTATACCTCAGCATAATGTAGGGCTACTCCACCCCATACTAGATAACTGTTGGCTATCTGTTAATTAAATAAAAATCATTATATCATTATATTTTTAAATTATAAAAAATTAAAATAAATAGATATATTATTTTTATATTTACCTCCTCGTCCTCCTCGAAAAAGTATGGCAAACCCTTTTTCCTATACAATTCCAATACACCTAAATAAATAAAATTTTTGTAAAAAATAAATAAATCTAAAATTGCAGTACCAAAAAAAATAAAAATAAATACCGTATAAATATTTTATATAAAATAAATATAATTAATCAATTGTGTGCATCCGATTAAGTATGAATAATAAATTATTGTTATTTAAGCGAAACAAACAAATAATTTATAGGAGATATATTACAGTATATATATATATATATATATATAGTATGCATATATATATATTGTATTAAATATTAAATATATTTATATATATATATATATATAAATCGAAATTTTTACACTAGAAATGGTTACTAATTTATATAGACTTTTTATCCAAACCGATCCACACACAAAAAATTATTAAATAAATTTACGAAAAAAAACATATTTGTTATGTTATGATACTATTTTATATACTAATTATATATATATAAATAATTATATTCAAAAAAAAAATAATAATTAGCTATAGTTTTATCTAATCAATTAATTTCTATATATAGTATTCAATCCGATCCGATAATTTGTTACCCGATTACTAGGCTATCCGATCCCGGGGTTTTGGATATCTATAATAATTAATTATATATATATATACTGTATATGTATAATATGTAATTATATTACACGTGCACTGGTAGTTATAGCAAACAGTTAGTTAGCAAACACATACACTCTCATACATTATTAATCAATGATCAATTCAAACATATTGGCGATAACACACATATTATATACATACACATTAAATATACCGGTATATATATACTGTATATATATATATCTAATTTATCATGATTAATTTAGTTTCTATATATATATATATATTTTATATATTTATCACTTATCATTTATTTTTGCTTATTATTTTTCTAGTAGTAGTATCAATATTGGTATTAGTATTGGTAATAGTAGTATCAATAGTTAGTTATTTATTTATTTTATATTATTTTTTTATTTTTATTTCACGGGTATAATAATAATACTAATAATACTAACCGATTAGGGCGTTATCCGATTGGACAATAGGCAGGGCCATAGCGAATGACGCGTTTTGCGGGGCATTGGGTACACCATAAGGAAACCGACTGTCCTGTAATTTAATTATATATATATATAAATAATGTATCAATATATACAATATAAAAAAATGTTTGTTATAATATCAAACTAATAGCTTAATGTTATTGTAAGACATTTGGGAATTTTATTATATGGATTCCTAATGTATATTAGATGTTATATAATATTGTATATACTGTTTATATAGATATTGATAGTTTGAAACAATATTGTTGTATATCCTATCAAACCCAGTGTGTGTATATGTTTTGTTATATAAGTTTATGGTCCATATGTATGTATATATGCATGAATGCGTGTGTATGCATGTATGTGTGTATGTATGTATGTATGTGTGTGTGTGTGTGTGTGTATACACGTGTGTGTATGTGTATATATCTGTGTGTGTATACAACAAACAATAAAAGCAATAAAAACAATAAAATAAATAATACTAATACTATACAGCACTAGACATAATTAAATAATCTCTAACTCTCTCTCTTTCTCTCTCTCTCTCTCTCTCTCTATCTTTCAAATATACTGTGTATATAATATACAGTGTACTATATATACTGTATGTTAAGATTAATACAGTTAATTGAGTTTTACATATAATTAAAAATGTCTATCTCTCTAAAATAAAATATTTTCTCTACAACAATATATAATTAATAAAGATTAATTGAAAATCAAAATTAATACAATAAAAAAAACAAAAATGTATTGAACCATTAAAATTAATTAAATATTATATAATAAATTGTTTTTAGTATACTTGAAAATATTTTTATCAAGGCTATTTTCTAATAATTTTCCAATATATATTATATATATATATATATTGTTTTGTTTTTGTATATATATATATATATGTAATAATTCATTAATATGTAAATTATTTTTTGACATTCAAAAAACAAACAAACATTTTAATGTTTTATAACATTATCGTCGCTTAAGTTAATCGCTTAATATAAATATTATATAATATAAAAATTATTTTTATTATTATTTAAACCGTTTGACATTTTTTGATGATCTTATTATTAATAATATTTAGTAATATATATATATATAGGCTTTAATATCTAAACTACTAATAATAAAATTTTCATAATTATTAAAGTGTATGAAAATATTTATTATTATTATTATAATAATGAAAATATATATTGCATATCACAAACACACACACAATGTATTTGTTAAACACATATTAGAAATTATAAGACGACATGAATTTTTTTTGTATGTATAATATATTAAAAAATTTTGTGTAAATTTTTTTGTGACATATTTTTTTGTGTACCCAAATATTATACACAATATGTATAATATATACTGTATATATATAATGTAATATATAAATAAATATATAGTATATTGAATGTACTGTATATTATTATTTTATTTTATTAAATACTTGACTATATATATATATATATATTGGTTTTATCACAAACAATACATAACTCTACTGTCTATGTGGTTATAATATGTGTATGTATTTTATATATACAGTATTATTATTATATTATATACAGTAGTTTCACTTTATTATTATTATTATTATTATTATTATTAAGTAAACATCAATTCAATATACTATATATAAGATATATATAAAAATAAGTATAACAACAACACAAAAATACTATATTATATTTATATTTAATATTATATATATTTTTTTATTATTTAAAAAATAAAATAATATTTTTTATACATACATATTCATCTATACGACACGATACTGTCTTTTTGAATTTGGATACATGTAGTGCCAGTGATAGGTCGGTGCTGTCCACTGTCTTATGATGAGACAAACGGCATATGTTTTCATAGGTATTGATTTCCTGATTTGATTTGTGTTTTTTGGTTGTATTTGTTGATTAAATAAATAAATAAATTGAAGGGAAAAAAAATATATATATTTAGATATAAATGTCAAAAGATTTTTGCTTTGATATAAACATAATATAAATATATATATATTATTTATTTATTGTATAAAAATAATATAATATACAAAATACTACAGTATATTTCAACAGTACTTTATATTTATATTAAAATAAAATATTCAATTTAATTTAAATTTTTAAGTCCATGAAAAAAATCTTATTATATATATATATACAGAAAAAATAAAGAAAAAAAGTCAATTTCAAACCACTATTTATTTTAATATTTTTTTTCTTTTAAAAAAATAGTAAAATATATACTTGTTTTATATAAATATATAATATAAATTTAAAATATATTGTTATATATATATAAAACAATACAGTATATATATATATATATTTACTTTATATATAACCTTGTATATTACTATAACAATATATATATAGTGACCCAATGTTTTTTAACTAGGTTGCCTGGACAATATAATTTATATATTGAGATATTTAATTAGGTTATTTGTCAAAGTTAATCATGTAAAAATTTCAATTAAGTTTATATTATCATAGTATTAGTATTATTACAGTTTTATTATTATTATTATACAATCAAATAACAACAACAACAAGCAATCAAGCAAACTAAATAAACAATAAATAAATAAATAAAAATTAAATTTAAAAAATTATATATAGTTTAGTAGTATTAATATATTTATAAATTTATTATTAATAGATGTATTTTCTAGAAATTTATATTTATTTATTAAAAAAAACAATTAGTATTTCTATTATTTTAAAAGTTTTAAAATCATTAATTAAATAAAATTAATTAACTAATTTAAATTATAATTATTAATAATATTTATTTATAGTAAAAATATTTTATAATTTACATATAAATTATGTTTAAATTGAAAATAATTGTTTAGTATATTTGCTTTGTATTATATTTCAAAAGTTTATAATAATTTTTAAATATAAAAAAAAATAAAATACATATTTTGCATAAACAAAACAAAAACAACAACAAAAATTAATAGATTATTGATTTTATAATATTAAATATATATATATAATAAATATATATAACTTATTTAATAATACACTAAACTTCAAACTATTATATTTTTTTGTTTTAAATATGAAAATATAATTTTTATTCAAAAATAATAATAATAATAATAAGTCATAGGATTTATGGGAAGTACAACATGTGATGAATAAAAAAACAGTTTTTTAAATGATATCATTAAATATATTATTTATTAAAAAAAACTAATGTATTTTATTTTATACAGTATTATACTGTAATAATAATAATAATAATATTAAATAAAAGTACAATTTCTCACTATTATTATTATTATTTTCTAGGTTAGCAAATATTTCAATGTTATTAGATAGATCAATAAATTTTGGGGAAAATTTATTATTATTTTTTTAAATATATATTAATATACACTGTATATTTGATATTAAATTTTATATATCGGTTTACATGCAGTTATATCTCGTTATACATCCATTATCTATCATATTATACACAGTATTATATACAGGTTATAATCTCTTTAATTTACAAGTCAAATAAAATAAATTTTTGTATATACTGTATATATATAAGCGTATTGTTATTAAAATAAAAATAAAATAAAAATTTTGGATTTTTTGAAACTAAATATTAGTCTTATATATATATATCAATATTATAATAGTATATAAAAATTTATATTATATTTGCAATACTATAGTACTTTATAATACATTACAATAAACTGTAGAAATATTATAATATTGCAAATAATATATATATATAATGATATTTAAATTTATTTTAGCAAATATTAGATTTATATTATCATATACAATATATATATATATATACTGTATATATTTAGCAAATAACTTTACCAAGGTGCTATATTTATCTTATGATTTATTTTATAAAGTTCCTGAAATCATTGCTATTTTAATATAGGTTTTATTTGATTATTATTATTATTAAAAATTATTGAAATATTTTTTTTATCATTCAACAATATTTTTATTATTATGTTAGATATAATATATATAATATTATACAATATTATACAATATTTTTTTATATGTTAACAGTTAACATAATCATTTTGATGATAATAAATGATATTTAAATTGAATGTATATATTATACTGTATTTACTGTAAATCTAATTGAATTTTTTATATTTATATATATATATATATATATATATAAAGCATATATAAATTTGCTCCAGGCTGTTAATTCAATTTAAATATCATTTTATTTTGTTAAATATATATATTATATACTGTATATATACTGTATATAAATGATAATACAATTGAAATAATAAAAAACTAAAAATTTACATAAACTGTATAAATAATCATAAAATCTAATCTAATAAATGTCTTGGTATTGAAATATTTTTTTTATTTTCAATTATTATTTAGGCATTATTATTTTATTATTATTATTTAAATTTATAATAATAATAATAATAATGTTAGATGTAATCTATTAGTTTTATTATTATTATTATTATTATAAAATTGAAAAAGTGATACACAAATTGTATTATTATTATTTAGTTTAATAATAGTATTATTCAACAAATATTTTTAATTAAATTTAAATATTTTCAAACTGTCTTTTAATGTAATGTAATATAAAATTATATATAAAAATTATTTGTTGTCATCTATATTGTTATATATTTAATAATATATTATTTATTTATTAAATAACAAGTAAAGTTTTTTTTAAAAATCTAATTAATTAACTTATATTCAACTATATTATTGTAATTTTTAAATGTATAATTATTTTATTTTTATTTAAAAATTTACCATTATTTTTATTTAGAAATTTTGTATTATTATTATTATTATCTACTAATATATCAATTATTGAATGTTTATTATTATTAAATACAGTATAATATATTTAATATTTCTAATATATATGATATAAAAATAGATATTTTTGGAAAACTAGACTTTCTGAGAGATAGTTACATGAAATATAATAATTATTATTATTATTATTATTAATGTTATCAACAAATATTTTTCAACAAAAATTTTGTTATTATATTGTATAGTATGAGTGAAATGCGTGAAAAATTTTTAACATTAATTTAATTTAATTTTCTCACTAAAACTCTTTGTTGTGTCAAATGTAACGGAAATGACTAACAGTATCCAAAAAATTTTTGTTATTTATATATATAGTATTAGTATTATTAAAATATTTTTAAATTATTATTATTTTTAATTAATTTATTCTAGATAAATTATCTGAATGTTAAAATATATATACAAACAAAATTTATAAATAACTAATAGATAATTAAATATATGATAATATTTTTATTCAACAAACAAAAAAATTGGGGTGAAATATACGTATACTATATATTATTATATATATATATATATATAAATAATTTCAATAAATAATATTTATTTATTATTTGTAGTTTTATTGTTGCAATTGCTATATATATAGTATATTATGTTTCAACAAAAAAATACAGTATAACTCAATTGGGTTTTTTATATATAGATAATAATAATAATAAATATATGATTATATTATTCCCAAAAATAATTATTTAACTATTATCATTATATACAGATTTTTTTTTAAATATATTATAATAAAAAGGTATATATTAAATATTTATTATACAAAACTAAAATATTGGATATATTCAATATATATATTTTATTATAAATAAAACAATGATATCATTGTGTAAGTAAAATATTTATTTATTTATTAAAAAATAAATATTAATATGACGTCAAAGTGTAATAAACTTTATAATAGTATATAAATATATATATTATAAAATAGATTATTATTATTAAAATAATTTATATATAAAATATATTTAACTATATATATATACTGTACTGTAACCAATAAGCTGCTTAAATATTATATAAACAATATTATTATTATTATTATTATTATTTAGTTATTTAAATCAAATACAGTACACTAACCAGTGATTTATGTATAGTATTATTAAACTAAATATTGCATAGTATTAGCATATATTACTACAACTATATATCAATAACATAACATACAAACAAAATAAATTTTTATATACTGTACTATACAGTAATACAAACAAAATATATATATATATATATATATATAAAATTGACTTAAACTTTGATAACTAATAATAATCATAAATATTGATTATATTTTTTAATTTATTAGTTTGTTTGCCTAAACATTATTATTATTATTATTATTATTATAAAATGCAATATGCATTACTTAAATATATATATATAAATATTATAATATAAACCAGTTGAGAATGCTAGAAAGCATTGCCAGAAACAAACTTTAAAAACTCATATATTAGGGTTTGCATTTTAATAAGATTTTTTAATTAAAAATAAATAACTCAATATTATATAAAATTTTTATTTTATTTTAAACATATAAATTATTAAATACAAGATTTAAATAAAATTAATTGATAAAGTAATTAAGAAATTTTTTTTTAATTATTTTTAAAGTTAATCATTAATAATAAACAAATCCAAATAGTATTAAAAATGAGAATATTGTTTTTTATATAAAATTATATAGATTAATAACAATGGATGTAATAACAATGCTTTAAATATCATTGTTAGTATTAATATTGTTTAATATATCTTCAATATCGTCATCCATTTCATCATCTGATTCATTTTCTTCTTCAAAATCCATTTCTGATGAAGTTTCGCCAGATGTTTCGTCAGAAGTTTCGTTTGATGTTTCCTCACAAGATTCAGAAGCATTAATTTCAAGAGAAACATCAATGACAAGTTGATTTAAAACATCATGAACTATTTCTTCTATACTCATAACTTGACCATAATTATTAAATTCAATATTTTGAAGGCTTTCATCAAATTCTTCGTCAAATATT